TCTATCTATCTATCTATCTATCTATCTATCTATCTATCTACCTACCTACCTACCTACACACACACACACACACACACACTCATGAAAATAAAATCATTCTTACCATTTCTCCAAGTTTTCAATCCAACAGGATAAGCATGGCTTTCATTTCTACAGTATTTATAAACAGCACATCCATAATATAAAAGTAACACATATGGAGGGAAGTATACATTCAGAATTCCCTACAGATTTGTCCCATGACACCTTACTTAGTGTTACCCTCCCCATTTCAAATAACAGGCACAAAAATTAGACAGTTGAAATACGGCACTTTATTTTCTTTTTCCTTACACACAGCTTCAGCTATGGAAACCTCATGTCACCACTGACATTTCACTACCCAAGTTGGATGGATCAGACTTCTCAGGCTTGGCCTTCTTTTTCCTTGATCTCCTCCTCTTCCGCTTCCTTCGCTTGGCAGCTTTCTTTTTCTTAAGGACAGCTAATGCCTTTATCCTCCTCCTCCTCCTCCTCCTCCTCCTCCCCCTCCTTTTCCTCTTTCTTCTCTTCAGTACTTTCATCATCATTTTGCTAATTGCATAGGAGCCTGTCAGTCCATGGCCAGTCAACTTCCTCAACAATCCTTTGGCCACCAAGGCCCTCAAGACTCTCTTGAAATAGTTCTTCCGCTTCTCCAGGTTGTAGCCAGTGGCTGCGATGCTCTTCTTAAGGGCTTGGAGGGAGACACCGGTGCGTTTCTCAGTGGAAGCCACCACTTGGAAAATGAGCTTGGAGATACCACGTTTTGGCAGAAGGAATTTCCATGGAAAAGAAGGTTTGTCTCTTTCTTTTGCCTTGGAACTAGATGCAGGTTTCATCTGCAGGCCTGAACAAGAGGGCTGAGGTTCATTTGGAAGTAGCTTTGGGACAAAGAAGTTGGCAGATACTGGTTCAGGAATGCTTTCCTCTGAAGATTCTGCAGTATTCAAGGAAAAAGCCATCTGTTTTTCACTTATGGTACCCATTTTTCCTCAAGCTTGGCTTGGCCTGCTATTTCTTCAACATTACCTCACGCTTCAGGGTGGCTTGGCTCAGTTCCTGTCTTCCTACTAGTAGAGGTCTCTTCCTGAGTGTCACGTTAGTTTACTCTGATGGTTCTTCCAGGAGTCCTCAAGACTGACTGCCTTCCACAGAAAGCAAGATGTTGGATGGGATTCCTGTGCAAGGCCACCTCACTTTGCCACAGTTATGAGAGCAGAGGAGGAGGTGCTTGAACTACTGAAGAGTTGCCATGGGAACTGCTTGGTAGATTGTGGTATCACAGCTACTCTGTGATGCCTTCCTCTGTGTGTGTTATGCGTCCATGAGTGTATCTCTTGGTTAATGGTCTAGTCTTTAGATTGACTCTCAGGACCTATGACTCAGACCAGACCCTACGATTTAACTTTTTTAGGTTACCTCACTGTTAAGCAGCTATAACAGAAGATACAAATTCATGACGTTTAGTTGGAATGAAAGGAGATTTTGGAAATGCAAACACACTGGAGGTGGCAAGGGAGATGGATGGTGACATTTGCACAAAACCATCCTAGTACAGATAAAAGCAAAGACCATGGTTAGGAAGAAAGCAACTTACTCTGAGGTGCTCAGGTCCCTCTTGTGCCTACAATCCAAAGAAACAAGAGGGAATTATATTCAATTAGAAAAAAGAAACAAATTATTTTATTTCTCAGTAATACATTTTTTAGAACTGCAACCATCCCCTTATGGGAGTCAGTGTGGCCTAGTGGTTTAAGGCACCATGCTAGGAACCAGGAGACTGTGAGTTCTAGTCCTGCCTGAGGTACTAAAGCCAGCTGGGTGACCTTGAGCCAGTCACTCTCTCTCAGCCCTAGGAAGCAGGCATTGATAAACCACTTCCAAAAATCTTGCAAAGAAAACTGCAGGGACTTGTCCAGGCAGTCACTAGACATCCAAAATTACTTGAAAGCACAATCCACCCACCCCATCCTCATGTTCTCCAGCTTATTCCCTTATCCAATAATAGATCCACACCCTATTAAGTTATTGCCAGCCTTGTATGTTTTGAAAAATGCTCGTAGACTTAATTCCAGTCCATTAAATGTACAAATACAGTAAGATGCATGAATATAAAATGATTTAACTTAAGAAGGATATTTGGATGTTCATTGCCAAGGAAACTTGGTTAAAAGCAGTGCCAAATAGATAGATTATCATTTGTTCCCCCCCCCCACCCCCCACACACACACCAGTTCATATCCAACATGATGAAAAAGAGTTTGTTTGGGAAATTATTTCAAAAGAGAAAAGAATTTGAGAATTTTTCATGGGCACATTCTTAACACTCATTTAGCTGCAAAGGGGTTCAATTCTCTCTCCAGCAAACTTTAGTCTTTCTGGCTTTCTACGCATCAATTAAATCTCAGTGGAAGACACACTCCCCACTGGATCTCTTCAATATAAATGCTACTATCATTGTAAGGGGAATCATATGCTGGGTAAATTGTTGGAGAACTTCTTCCTCATAGAAATTCATCCACCCACTTTCTCTACCTGAAAATCTGGTGGTGAATTTTGAAAGTCCATTTATGTTGGTCTCCAGTTGAAATACCAGGGGTAACACCTTTGAAATCCTGGCAAGTGTTAGGCTTTAACCCAGGACCGTTTTTCCCTACTTCGAAAGCTGTTAGGCATATTTACTTATTAATAGATAGGCAGTTATTCTTTGAACCTGAATCGCATGAGAAGTTGACATAATTAAAATCTGAAAACAGTACGGAAGATGCTCTATTGGGATGACTGGGCTATTAACAAGGGATTAATATTTTAAATCAACTGATGTTGATTATTGTTTTATAGCTTTTGAAATATTGTCTTTTGAGCTTAATTTGCCTTTAACATACGCTTGGCAATATAGAACTGAAACGTGTATTAACTCAATAATATAGTCTGGATGCTTTAGCAGCCTCTGAGGCTCCTGCAATTTTAGCTTCTTGTAGAGATGCCACAATTGAACAGAAACTAACAATTCAGTTTTAGAAGGTATTAAATGAAAGGTGGTATTAGCTATATATTTGATCTATGGAAGGAAGAATTGGAATCCAATTTTGGAAAATCAATGTCTCCAGGTATTAAAAAAACATGAAATATACCTCATGGTTTAAAAATGAAAGCAATTCATCAGAAAATATTGTTTTGGGACTCTTGGACCCCTTAAAGAACATTTTAAAATAGATGGGCATTAGATTTCTTTTACATTTGCACTGTGAGAAATTTGAGGATTCTTTAACTTACATGATTTGGTCTTGTTCTGTTATAGCTTTGTTTTGGTTTCAAATTAATATGTATGATAATATAATTTTGGGAAGCAATATTATATTTAAGGATCTCAATATTCAGTTATATTCCTAAAATATGGAGTTTGTCGTCTTATGAAGAGCTTTGACTTTATTGAGCCTGGTGTACAGAAACAGGATACTTTTATGTAACTGAAAAGAAAGTCTGATTTTAAGGATAGGTCCATGATTTTAAGGGTCCATGATATTAGTTCATTGCTGACCATATGGATCTTTTACCTTTGTTGATTGTTTGTGGGTCTATATGTGTGTGTGTGTGTGTGTGAGAGAGAGACTGTTGTTTATTTATTATAATACAGGGTTTTTTCACTGTGTTCTCTGTGTTCATTATTCAATGAACACATTTTACTTTGTATTTCACAGATCTATTTTAAAAAGAAGAATGTTGGAAAAGACCACTGGGCTCTGTGCCTGCTATTTGCACTAAAAGGAATGTCACAATTAGTACAAATGGAAGCCTTCCTTCCAAAGAAAATAGACATTGGGGAGGAGGCAAACAGCTAAATCTTTTCACACAAAGCTTCAGTTCTGTGTTTGCATGAAATAAGTCCCATCAGCGGTCAGATGACACAATCACCAAAGGGTTTGCCTTTGTGCAAAGATCTGATACACCCCTGTTTTTTTAGCCAACGGGGAAAAGTCATTTCACAGCAGCACAGGCCTTGCCTGAACTGCCAAAGTCACATTATCTTTTGCTTCAATCAGTGATTGATGCTTTCACTGGAGGGAAACTGGCTTGCTCCAGTCATAATGTTTGTGTCTTCAGAAATGCTACCTTAATTAGATGAAGGAGCACAGAAGAAAAATAGTCACCATGCCCATATCACAAGTTTGGAAGGCAGTGAAGATTTGCCACCATGGTGACCCCATAAACAGCTAGCCATCTTAAAAGAATTTTTGTGAAAGACAAAAATATGTAATATATAGTAAGCATGCTCATTCCTATATCATCCTGGTGTAATCCAACAATGATTCACCTAGATAATTTCAGATAACCTTTAAATTGGATTTGGAAGGGTTGTGAATGGAACTTTCTTTTCACCTGGAAATGTTATCTACCTAGTCTATCTTGAGATTTCAATATATAAATTTTACTTTTATTTTTGCTTTGGGAACCATAAAAGAAAAAAAAGAAAATTAGAAAATATCAAACAAATCAACAGGATCTCTAAAGGGGCAGGGGTGCTTAGTTTGATGGAAGGGGCCTATGACTTATATCCATTCTTTGTTTTGTTTTATGCCAACACCATTTGTAGGAAATTATATTTCCACTTCTAAGTCATTTGCTTCCCAAGTTTAGAGATATAATTGCAGAAAACAAAAACAAATGTGGAAACACAAGCAGCTGGTAGGCTGCAAGTTGCCCATCCATCATGTGCAATTTGGAAAAGGGAGAATTTTAAAATATGTCTATTTACAACTGCTTAATTCCCTGGTAATACATGCATGTTGGATATGAGAGCAATCTGGCTGCAACATCATCCCGCTGATTACCAGGATTGATTCAGCTGATGTGACTGGCTAGGCAGATATCCCCTTCCTCCATGTACATCCTTCCCAAAGCTGTGCACTCAGGAGGAGAGGGCAACCATCCCAGACAGAAGGAATGGGATCATATGTTCAAGTTATTTTTATTTTTATACATAATTCAATTTGAGCAGAGGCTGGACTGACATTTATCTTTAATGTTTTAATATGGATCCTGATCAGAATGGAACATTGAGCTTGGTACCTTCTAATTCTATTATACTATGATTTTAAGTTCCTGGTTGTGCTCCTGGCAATTATTATTAGGCTGGTAGCCGGTAGCTGTAGCCTGGTATCCAATGGGGAGACCTGCCTTCTTCATGAATCACAACTGAATACAACCTACCATACTTATAAGGGAAAGGAGAATGAAGACTCTTCCCTATAAGGATGGATGGATGGATGGATGGATGGATGGATGGATGGATGGATGGAGAAATAAGGGGCAGTCTTCTGAGTCACTCTGATAGAAGTACCTTACATTCTTTTTTAATTCACATGTACCCAGCTATGATAACTTCATACAACCTCCCTGATGGATGCATGCCCAACTTACACGCCCTCCCGTCTACAGCACATGATGTAGGCCAAGATTAGAAAGAGGAGAAAGCCCAAGAGGAATGGAAGAAGAAAAGTAAGTAAGAAATCACTGAAAAACATCCTGTCAGGAGCATCGTCAGGAGGATTAAATTCAGTCCCCTCTTCAAGTACTCCATCTCCATAGACTGGTACCATTTCTGTGGCATTTATAGTTGTAAGGTCTATCTAAGGAATATAAGAAAGGAAAATGACAGGGGAGTGACAATTTGGAGAAAGCCATCCCAGGATTCCTGAACAGCTCTCCCTCTCCCTCCAACACACAACTTTCTCCAACATCTTCTCACCAGAGTAAGGTTACACCAATCAACTTGGAATCGAGGACTGAAGCTATCATAACAGGTAATGATAGGCTGTTGCTCAAGCCTGCATCGGTAAAGATTGTCAGGTGACTTTGCTTCTGTTAAGCACGTAGTGAATGGATCCTTGGACCCCACTTTGACGTAAACCCTGAGGGACCAAACATAGAACAAACTAATGATTACAGAACAGGGAGAGTGTAACCTTTTTTTTTTCAGCCTGAAATCCACACTTGGCCACTGAGTGGCATGCCAAGGACCACACTCCAATAAGTTGGCAAGACCGGAAAGAAGAAATGGGCAGAGTCAGGACAGAAATGAAATATAATTGAATTAAGTGTAACTGCAATAAAATGAAATTCATCATAGTTAGATTACCCTGTTATATTTAATAATTCCCCACCTCAACAGATACAATTCAATGGCAAATTTTAGAGGGGCCCCAGAGACTGCACCCAAGGTTTTTGAGAGGGGACACAGGTCGCCCTGAGGCTTCAGGCTGTGCACTCTTGCTGTAGAACCACAAAGATGAGAGAAACCTACAAAATGAAGTAAATGAAGTGCTTCCAATCAAATTTCTTAATTTTACTATCATCTTACCTCAATTCTTGAGCAATCACTACCCAGAACTTTGACAACCATACTTTGATTGTCACTTCCAGGGTCATGTTTCTTACCCTTCTTTTCTATTTTCAATTGGCAAAGGTACACGACCTCCTCGGTCTAACGCTGAGGTAATATTGATGACAGTCAAGCCTTCTTGTTCCCACATGCTATCCACAGCTTCTTGAAAGGATTCTTGGGCATCTTTTGGAAGCATTTCCTCCACATCCCAGTTTTTCACAAGGAAGTCAGCTTGGTATGGCATCTCTCCCTCTTCAGGTAAATGACAGAAAAAAAGGAGATGGGAAAAAGGAAGTAGAAACTACCCATCTCTGAGGGATCCATGTCATGCTTCTCAAGAAAAAGTTTAACCACTGCCTCCATTAAGCAAGCAGGCCACCTGCCCTCTTTCAAAGAGACATTAATACTGTAATGTTAACTAATGGACTTTTAATAACCTCACAGCTAGAAGTTAGAAGCCAAGTTAGATGAGTATCCAGAGAGCAATTGGTGGACTGTACTGTTCCAACAGAGTCTCCATGTTATTTGCCATCCTAAGCTGAAAGTGAACTATACAAGAGGAATTTCTAGACATTCCCATAATTGATTCTACAACAAACATATCATCAAGACTAGCTTGAATATGAGAGATTTTATCCACAAAAGCTAAAATGATTCTATAATAAAACTCTGAGAGGAGGAGGCAGGGATACAAACCAATCTCACAACCCAAAACAACTCAGCATTGGCTCGTGAATGCAACGTGTAGAAAGAGTCTGCTTCTTTGCTGCAGTATCACGATGACGTGAGCTTTCAAATGGGCTTCGCGATGTACCCAGTCATGTTTGGGTTGGGTGTTCCTCCACCTGGGCTATAGCAAACTGCCTTACCACTTCAGCTCCTGCAGCTGATCACCGCACCATGGAGCCAGCTTGAAAGCAAAGGCATCAATTCATACTGTGCAGGAGAAGGCAATGGTAAACCAACCACTCCTGTATTTTTATCAAGAAAACCACATGGATAGAAAAAAATGTATCTATGTGGTCACTAGGAGTTGAAAATGACTTGATGGCACATAATCAATCAATCAATCAATCAATTCTAATAAGCCCACTATCCAACGGATATGATTTATGACCACTAATCCAGTCTTAACCAGATAGTGATTTGTCAAGGTTAATGGGGAAACCTCAGGCCTCCCTACCCATGGAACACCATCTTAATTGGAACAAAATACCAAACTGGCAGGTGACCTGTGTCATATGTTGGCCTTATGACTGTTTGGGTTAGTAAACATAACTGCTATGAATTCCCAAGCTACTCCAGACAAACCAGCCCCAAAGTGACCTGTCCCAGGCCAAGCACACTCAAGCACACCGAGAGGTGGTTGCAAACTTTACTGATAAGTTTTGTGAAGTAAATAAACAAAGGAAATGTGAGTGCAAATGTGCACTTGTGCACACACACGCACGCACGCACACACACACAGACATACACACAGAGTAGAGAAACAAGTCCCCCAAAGTTCAGCAAGCTTGCCCTAAAAGAGTTCCAATCCAAAACAATGGCACAAGAGTGGTCAAGCAAAGTCCAAGGGGCCAAACGTTGTAGAAGGTTCGTCAGCCAGTCTAGGTTCAGAGTCAGTCAGGAGGTTTCAAATTGGGAGTCAAGGTACATGGAGTTTGGGTAAATGAATGGTTGTTGCCAACAGAAAGGCTTGAACTCACTGATTTTCTTAAATAGAAGCAGCCCCGATGTTGCTCATTTGGAAGGGTGAGGCTCTTTTCTTGCGAGAAGCCTTGCAGAGTGCCTTGCTCTGCTCTCCTCTCTGCACAGTGATCCTTTGCAGTGGGAGGCAGGGAAGCTCAGACTCCTCATCTTCATAGACTGGCAGCAAATGTGCCTCCTAGTTATCGGACAGCCCCATCTCTTCTTCCTGCAGCTCCTTGCAGAGTTGCAGAGTTCATCTGGCAACTCTGGGACTGGTTGCTAATTGTCAGTCTCCACATCTGAGTCTGAGCTCGCCATGACACTATCCCTCCCCTCAGGGGCCTCCTCCCCTGTAGTTTGAGTCCTGGGCTTCTCTCAGTATCGCTGACGAAAATGGCATGTGAGATGGGGAACATGAACATTACCCACATCTTCCCAGGAATGCTCCCCTGGTCCATACCCTTTCCAGTCCACTAAATACCAAAGGTGTCCCTGGCGAACAGGGACTCCTGCGAACACAGCGGTCCAGGATGTGGGCCACCTCATATTCAAGTTCCCCATGGATGTCAACTTGTGGTGGTGGAGGTGCCACAGACTGATGAGAGCATGCGGCACTGCCAGTACCAAGAGGGACCAATGAAATGCAGGATGTACACAAACGTTGGGAGGTAATTTAATCCAAAAGGCCACTGTATTGATGATAGTCTCTACAGGAAATGGTCCCAAGAAATGATGATCCAATTTCCACAATGGGCAAAGTGTGGAGAGAAGTTTGGTGGATTACCATATCAAATCTCTGATGGCTAAAGAAGGACCAGATTTACAGGGTTGATCCGCAAACCATTTGTAGCCTTTCCTTGCTTTTTCCAGTTGGTCTTGGAGGGCTTGATGGATTGCTCACAATTCTTGCAAGAACTGGCCAGTAGCTGGAACATGAGAACCTGGAGAATATCATGGGAAGAACCGAGGTTGATATCCATAATTGGCCAGAAAAGGTGTCATCTGGGTGGATGTTCATTGTTATATGCAAATTCTGCAAGGGCCAAGAGGTCTGTCCAGTTATGCTGCTGGAAATTAACATAGCAGTGCAGGTATCATTTCAGAATGACGTTAACCCGTTCAATCCCTCCATCCAATTCCAGATGGCAGATGACAGGTGGATCTGGACCTCCAAGTTCTTGAGGAGGGCCCACCAGAACTGAGCAGTGAACTATGAGCCCTGATCCAAACCTACCCACTAGGACAATCCATGAAGTTGAAAGATGTGGCATATGAATAACTGCAGTTTCCTGGGCAGTGGGTAAACTGGGGCACGCAATAATGATGGTGATATTTAATTTTCTGTAATTGCAACATAATCTCAGTTCACTTGACTTCTTTCTAATAAACAACACAGGTGCAGCCACTGGAGAAGAGGAGGGTCATATAAATCTCCTCTTCAAGTTTTTCTCAAGAAAGTCTCTGAGGGCTGCTAATTCTGATTCTTATAAGAGGTATATGTAGCCTACTAGAAGTTTGGCTGCAGGAACCAGACTGATAGACCAATTGTAGGGCCTGTGTGGTGGGAGTTGGTCTGCCTCTTTTTCACTGAAGACATCAGCACAGTCCATAAATGGATGAGGGAGGCTCTAGTTCACCAGCAACAAGGGTGTTCAGTATTTTGGGAACAAAAGACTTGCAACAAATGCTCCCAAATGTGATGGCACCTGAGGACCACACAATATGAGGATCATGGGCCTGAAGGCCCTCCAGCCCCAAAACAATAGGAAAATGGGATGCAGATGCCAGGTAGAATTCCAGCCATTCTATGTAACCGCCCACTTGACATTTGCACTGGGTCTGTTGCTGAGGCCACTGGTCCAGAGCATAGCAGCCAGCCATCGATTGTCTCTACTAACAGAGGAGGTACTATATTCCACTCTTTGGCAAATTTCTCATCCAAGAAATTTGCAGTGACCCCTGAGTCAATCATGGCAGGGACCTGTAAAGCTGGCCTTCCTGAGATCTTTAAAGAAACAATCACAACAAGGTGTTTGGCAGGAGTAACATGGGGTGCCTGGGTTTGGCCAGCCACCAAACTTGGCCCAGTCTAGCTGCCCTTTTAGACTGGGTTCAGTTGATTTCCCAACTGAGAAAGTCTGGCCTTCTTGAAAGGGCATGTGGCAACTAGGTGACCTTGACCTCCACAGTACAGGGCATAGAACCTCACACCAGCATCTCTCCTTTTCCGCCTGAGTGAGACAAGGCCAAGCACCCCCCACTTGCATGGGCTCCCCCGTAGAAAATTCCTTGGGTTTTTGAGACAGTGTGGGTAATGGTGCCATTGAGGAGTTTGTCCTTGCCTTCCGTCACTGAAGGCAGCCATCAATATGAAGGCACAAATGCTTAAGAGCCTGCAGGGTCTGTGGGCACTCAGTCCTGGCCAACTCCTCTAATATTTCCAAGGACAGACCTTCCTGGAACTGATCCACCAAGGCAGCGTCATTCCACGTCAAATCCGGAGCCAAAAGACGGAATTCACTAATATACTCGGTTACTGGCTGGCGATCCTGCTTCAGCTCCCTAATGAGTAGATTAGCAGTCTTCACAGGATTCTCATACATAGTTTGAAGCTGCTGGCTCAGTTCAATTCAGCAGTCATCCAGCAGGTGGCTCTGTTGTGCATCTGGCTGCAGAACTGGGAAGCAATCTCAAACCCTACTCAGAAGCAATCCGTAGGAAAGTCCTCAACAGGAAGGCTCATTTAAAGTTTGCACTGAGCAAAAAACACAGGAAACTGGGGCAGCAGTCCCATCAGATTTCTCCGGCACAAGGACTGGGCCTTTCCGGCATGGAGGCTGAGCAGCTGCGGCTGAAGTTTGCAAAGACTGAAGCTGATGCAGCTGGGCGGTAAGGAAGGCGACTTACTGGGAGAGCTGGGCGTTGTCAGTGAGAAGCTGCTCCATTTTCTCTGTGCTGGCCAAGCAAACAGCCACCTCCTTTTTTCCCCAAAAGGGTGGGCTGGCACAAACTGTCTTGTCCCAGGCCAAGCACCCAGAGAGGTGGTTGCAAACTTTACTGAATTTACTTTACTTTTTTGTAAAGTTCGTGAAGTAAATAAACAAAGGAAATATGAGTGCACACACACACACACACACACACATGCATAGTGTAGAGAGCACAACACAAGCGCCACCTCTTTTGTACATGCACACAATATTGTGACTTGTGTACAAAAGAGTCAGACCTTGCAACACAATGTTTTGATGCTTTTTTCATCATTTGCCACCAGTCTGAACTGGATTCTCACAAAGTCTCTTTAGCAAGATTTATTGAGACAAAGGGGATGGAGTTTGTAAGAATTCTAGCAAATGAACTAAAAATCAATATATCTCAAAATAGTTAGGGTGAACCATTCTTAATCTTCTTGCTAACTGCCTTTCTATGAATCAACAAACAGCAGGTCTCTTCACTCACACAGGAGTGTGCAGCTGGTTGTTTACAAAACTTCTCCTGAATCTTTATCAGTGTGAGAATGAACTATTACAACAAATATGATTCCCTGCCTCAGTAAGAGGTGAATTCTGTCAAAACTCTTCCAGCAGCATCCTAAATTCACAGAATACAGGAAGCCATAATACTTTTGTTTGGAGAAGCCAACCATTGCGACAAGCAAATCGTGTTTATAACACGTGAAAACACAGCCAACAATGGTTCATTCAATAAGCCATGGATGAAACTAACCATGATTTAGTGTTGTGTGACTCAAGGCAAATGGTAATCAGAAAACCAACATACCTCCAGGACTCATGGACCCAGAATTCAGATTTTGCCACTTTGCTGGCCTAGAGATTACATTTAGAGTTCAGTCACTCCAGAATTAGCCACCATCTACTTACCCCACAAGCACCAGTGCCACCTCTCCCATCAACCCAAACAAATGACTTCAGTGGATACAGGAAGTGACATACTGTGCCACATTCAGATCACACCCAGGTTAAAGCTACCAGGTCTGCATTGCAAAAATCCAGACAACCATGCCATGGCAGCAAAGAATTCAACTCTTCTGTATCTCTTTCCAGGGTCATCTAGAGGGTGTCCAGACCTTTGCAGTACAGATGTGGTAGCTCTAATCCAAGAGGCCATCTTCCCACTAAACTTAATAGAAAGGAGAAAAACAAGCATCTAGGCAGTGTATTTTTCACTGAATATGAAACATTTACCTGGAGATGAGGAAATGCGTATTTCCATGGTTTGCCTCACAGTCTCAAATGTGTATCTGTTATAGGCCATCACCTACAACAGAGAAGTGAAAGAGATTTGCTTACTGTACAGGTATTTGTTCTTCTCTCTCTTTTTGTATATCTACCTATTTCCTGGAAAGGTAATAAGAAAATCCCCCCCCCCTTTTCTAAAAGAACACGACCATTAAAGCCAGTGTATTGTCTCAGAACACAAATGCCAGTAGGCAATTGTTTCCTTCCATCAATTTGGAAGTGGCCCTTCAAATCTGGTGTGAGGCTTCCTGGTACAGCCAATCTGAATCTGCCAATATTTCAGAATCAGATCAAGCCCCTAGCAGTGCTTACAACCGAGAAGGCTAGCTTCTCACATCTGATTAACCAGATTTATTGAAAAGGAAAAAAAATGTTAGGATACAGAATCTTGAAAGCTTTAGCACCAGATTCATCAGTAAGTTTATCAGGATGGTGATTCTTTGATCTTCTTGCTGATAGCCTCTGAAATAGTGGGGAGGTTGGTATTTACCTCCCTGATATAGAAGGCATAAATAGACATTCTAGCCCTGTAATATTTTGCAAACTGTCATTCTCTTTCCAGATTCAGAGAAGTCCATGATGCAGAAATATTCCTGGTTAATAAGTTATGGTTGAGAGCAGTTTGATGCAGCGGTTAAGGCGAGAAACTGGGAGATTGTGAGTTCTAGTCCTGCCTTAGGCATGAAGCCAACTGGGTGATGACCAGTCACTCTCTCTCAGCCCTAGGAAGCAGGCAATGGCAAACCACTTCTGAAATCTTGCCAAGAAAACTGCAGGGACCAGTCCAGGCAGTCACCAGGAGTCAACAATGACTTGAAGGCAAAGGAGGAGGAGGAGGAGGAGGAGGAGGACATGTAGTTATTTCAACATGTCACATGTAACATAATGCATACAATATTTGTGCTTTTCTGTATATCATCCCCAGCTCCAGTATGCTTTTCTGTATATCGTCCCCAGCTCCAGTACATATTCTCTACTTTTAAAGACATAATTTACATGTAAAAGATATCCTCTTTTGAGCTGAGCTCTTTATGGACACATCCATGCAGTTTTCTTGGCAATGGTAGATAAGGGGTTTGTGACTGCCATCCCAGTCAGGTTTATAACCTTTGTGTTCTTTTATTCCCTGGTAGTCTCCCATCCTAGTATTAACCAGCCCCAACCCCACTTAGCTTCCAAGTTCCAACACATTCAACTAAATACTAACACCTGCTGAGGCTTAATCTAAATTGGACTGTTCACAGAACAGATAGAAAGATTTTCACAGAATTCAGATATAAAGATTTTAAGCCCCTGCTGTAAAGGTAATGAAATGTAATGTTGAGAAAGTTTCACTTAAGACATAGGCAAACAGATATAACATTCTGAAATGCAGACACGCACCTCAATAGTCTGCTTGCCAACGTCCTTACTTGTGGCAGACCCATAGAGGTATCCTGTGTCAAAGGGGGTACGTTGAATGTAGCGTAGCCACCGGGGCAAATCAGGGTGATCCAGAAGATTGGCATGGAAAGTGATGGGAGGGTCAAACGAAGGTTCTTCTGAAAGATTTTAGATCCAGACCAAGTTAAATCTGGTCTTCTCCCAAGATAGAGGAGATAGTATCATGGAGCTTAGAACTCAAATGATACAATACTTGTACAAAATGAAGATTAGTTTTTTTCCCCAAATAATTTGCCTTTAAAGTTGGGATGTTGACTTAGACTAATAATTATAGTAACAGGGGCAGACCCCATGAATTTAACAAACTTAAATTCATGTTTGTTTCCTTTTGGATAAACAGAGTAAAATCTGTCTCTTCAGAATTAAGAATAGCATTAGGGTAACCCAGTGGGTTACATTACTAGCATGTTTACATTTCATCTGTTGTTGTTTTTTCCCCCTCTTCTATAATTTTCAGTCAGCCAATGGGGGGAAAAGTGGTTTCCTAGAATGACTGTGGGAAAAAGAGATGAAATTTTCAACAGACTACTAATTTTAGAAATTTCACCAAAACATTCTGTTTTGCATTAATCTTAGTGACAAGGTAGCTTAGAAGTATGTGCCCAGATGTTCTACAGCCTCCTTGGCTGTTCACACTTCAGTTAAATCCCAGTGGAAAGATCTTATGAGGGAATTCCTCTCTTGAGGCTTCAGATATGTGTTGACAGCTAGAAGGGTGCAAAGAAAATAAATATATAACAGGAAATAGTGACAAAGTATTCTCCTGCTTCTTACAACAAAGGAAGTTCTAAATCAGTGTTTCTCAACTTTGACAGCTTTAAGATGTGTGGACTTCAACTTCCAGAATTCCCTAGCTAGCATGGCTGGCTAGGGAATTCT